GAACTTCAGTAGATAACTCAATAGCTTGGTTGAATCCATTTTCACCACCATAGGAAATATCAACTAATTTTAAAACTTTTGATTGCAACCTCTGACATACACACACATTAAAAAAAAAAAGAAAAAAGCATCATTAGAACTTCAAAACACCTTTACCAAGACCACTACTTCTTAATGCCATGCAAAGCTCAGCATTATGAACACTGAAGTCTAAGGGGAAGAATACAGGGAAAGAACCCAATTTATTCATGAGCAGATCTCAGTGAGCAACACTGTCAAGGGTAAACTTCCCCAGCCAATTGTATCACACATTCAATTAGACCTGTAAGAGTCCATCTCATTAATCACCAACAAGACTAAGTTTCTTATTAAGGAAACAGGGGACTGTTAGTCCCTGCCATATAAGCCATATAAGTTTGTAGTGTACAACTCCACTTTTTTGGCTGAAACTTCTACCATAATGCTACTCCCTCTCCAGTAGAGCACTCGGGAATAGTTTTATGTCTGAGCCCATGTCATAAACCAAAAGATCTTCCTGGATTAAATGCTTCAGGCTAATCAGCTCTGTCATATTGCTGACAGTTTCACTGCTTTATTTACCTCCAGGAATAAATCAGAAAAAGACCAGAAAAACTTTTAGCCCCTAGTTTCTTTGAAATCACACTCCATTTGGAGGCCAATTATGGCAATCCGCTAAACCAGGAGCTGCCACAGGACCATAGCGATTCTGTATAAAAATGGTTGGGGCACCTCAGTTGGTTGCTCTCCTGTGCTCTCTCGGTCTCTCTCAAATAAATAAATAAAAAATAAATTAAAATGGTTGGTTTTGAAAAAGAAAAAAGACCCAGCAAAGTATGGGGGAATGTTTCTTTTCTTTTTTTTTTTTTAAAGAACTTCGGGATCATGAACTGAGTTGAAGGCAGACACTTAACCAATTCAGCCACCCAGGCACCCCTGAGGGAATGCTTCTTAAACACCCCGAATTCTGCCAATTCAGAGCTAGGTTGTTTTTTGTTTTTTAAAGTTAGGTTTTTAAACAGGAAATATATCACTTGAAAACCAAAAAAGATGTGTACATCCCAGTACTCAGTGGACCCACTTATTCCCACCTAGCAACTTAACAGAGCACCGACTTCACACTTACCTGATCAAACATATCAGATTGACTTAGTTCAGTTTTAAAGTCAGCTGATCCAGCTAAAACAAGACCAGCCACATTCACTTTGTCCCCAGAAATAAACAGCTGTACAGCAGTCTCAGCTACTTTCCGAACATAGTTATGTCGCTTTTCCATTCTTAAACGAGCAAAACGCAAGGCTGATTGACCTCCTCTACCTTTGACACAAAAAGTGGGGGGAGAAAGGACAATCATTAAAAAGTACAAAATAATTTGCTAATTAAAAACTAAACAATCATGCATTTACCCAACAAAAGGACAAAGAGAAAAATTACTATTTCCTTAACCAAATGTTTGGCATAAACTGACACGCATTTTTAGAGAGTAACTACTAATTATTTTATCAAAAGAAGAGCCACAGGCACCAAGGAGTCATGAGTCATTTCATGATGCTTCTCCCATCCTCTGGATTTATTCCCCTCCATTATACAGTTGACCCCCCTCTTAAAGGAAGAAGGAAGAAAAAAAAAGGTTTATTTTTTTAAAGCAATCTCTACTCCCAAAGTGGGGCTTGAACTCACAACCCAGAGATGAAGAGTTGCATGCTTCACCAAATGAGCCAGTCAGGCACCCCTACAGTGGACCCTTAAATAATAAAGGTTTGAATTGTGTAGGTCCACTTATATATGAATTTTTTTCAATAAATACAAGTATAGTTCTGTAAATATATTTTCTCTTTCATATGATTTTAATAACATTTTCTCTAACTTATTTTAAGAATACAGTACAAAATACAATATAACATACTAATGTGTTAATCGACTGTTTATGTTAATGGCTTCCCAGCAACAGGTTATTAGTAGGTAAGTTTTTGGGGAGTCAAAAGTTATATGCAGATTTTCAGTAAAAGTTATGTGCAGCTGAGTCGGTGCCCCTAACCTCCATGCTATTCAAAGGTCAACTGCACTATTTATTTTCTTATTGCTAGACACAAAAGAAAATGGGCTCATAGTCTCTTCCTGTGTTACCATGTTTCTTTGGGAGATCCACAGTGAATTTGTGCAGGACTTCTCTCGTGTTTCCTTGGAGTGTGCCAAAAAGTGCACCACTACCATCTATTACAATGAAGCCAAACTTGCTGTCATCTGAAAGTAGTGCTGTCAGAGCCTGGAAAGCAAATGTAAGTACCACACAATAAATCCAAAGCTTTTCCAAGGTCAAGACAAAATCCAAAAGGACATATATAAGCGCTTTCACCCCACCCAAGATGGTATGAATACTTAGAGAGAAAAGCCATTTTATGGAATAACTTAGACTTCAGCTATAAATATGTAACCCATATGTACAATTTTGAACCAGATGCAGGAAAAAACCAACAATATTGATGTGAAGCCTTTCAACAAACCTGACCTGGACACATGAATACAAAGCCACCAGAGATATAGGGTTCAGATCCATTCTAGTCCTTGATTTGATTTAGTGATGACAATCCATGGAACATAATATTCAAATTAAAAGTCTAACCTCAAAGGGGGGAAAAAAAAAAAAAAGAAACTAACCTCCAAAAGCTTTCTGTACAACCCCAGCTTCAACAGGCAGTATTCATTATAGCAAAGAGTATCTTGTAAATCAACTCTAGAGTAGGAATACATGAGTAAAAAACCCAGAAAAAATGTCTATAAAAAGATCTAGTTTTGAAATGTTTCATTTAACTCCTATGTCTTGAGCCTCCTTAATGATATCAGGATATAAAACTCAATCTTATTTTAAAGGTATTATTATAGCTAAATGATTTAGCTTTTTTAGTTTTTTGTGGAGGAAACCCCTCCTTCTGGGTTAGCATATAATTATAACCCAATAGTTTTGCCTCCTGAAAGAGCAAATATTTAAACAGTCCTGGGAACCCATATAGATGGGTGAGTTTTCATGATGGGAGTCTGCGCACCTGTTAAATGACTAATTGCTAGGGGCCAGGCTTTTTTGGAGCTAAGAAATACCCATTCCATTTTGACTAAGGAAGAAAATTTCCTTTAAGAATTGACCAGAAAGCAGATTAATCATTAAGAATCAATCTTTAACCATACCATGTCTGATAATTAGCATTAAGCCATGAATGTTACACACATTACATCACAATCTGTTAAGTAGTTTGATTGATTTTAGGTTTTCAAAAATTCTTCTCATCCGGGAATACTTACCCCTCATAAGAATGTGTATTTATCCTATTAAACAGGACATAAATTGTGTGGTGCAATATGTCACACCCATATCTAGTTATCAACCTATCAATTAAAAGCCAAAATAAAGAAAGCTAGCAAGATTAAATAGTACTTTGGAAGATTTAAGGTTTAGAAATATGAATGAAGCTAGCTTAATAAGTAAGTTAAAGCTAGAAAACACGAGTACCAGGTACCATTTAAATTAACAAGACTCAAAATCTGCTTTCATGGAACTAGATACAGGTAAGTGGGACTGGATAAGACCGTCCCAATGAAGCTTTTGCCAGAGGAGGCTGGCAAGATAGCCAAAGAGAACAGTGTCAACCATCTATGCAACAAACCAAGATCCAACTGGAACTGGACTTCCTGTCAAGTTAGCAGAAATCATCCATTGTAAACTGTGTCGACAAATGTCAGTTCTAATTCCACTGTAGAGGTTTTTCCCTAGGTCGATGAAAAGCAAAAGACTGAACTAGGAGCCAGCTGTGAATTCCTGATTGTTCTACTGTTGACTGATTTAGGTCACTCTAATGAGGCTTCCTCTCCACCCTTAAATTTTACCTTATGGCAGCTCTGTCACTCAAAAGTTTCATGGGGGAAAAAAAAGCTCTTACAGTCCTCAAGATTTTAAAATTTGTGAGCTGAAAACTAAGGGTGCTAGAAATACAGCCAAGTATCATGGGTATATAGAGAGAGATGGAGATCTGGTTAGGCAGTTATGTCCTCACCTCTAACCAGTTCTCCAAACACTCAGTTTAGCACTTTCTTTTTTTTTTTTTAAGATTTTATTTATTTATTTGACAAAGAGCGAGCGAGAGAGGGAACACAAGCAGGGGGAGTGGGAGAGGGAGAAGCAGGCTTCCCGCTGAGCAGGGAGCCCAATGCGGGGCCCGATCCCAGGACTCTCGGATCATGACCTGAGCCGAAGGCAGACGCTTAACGACTGAGCCACCCAGGCGCCCCTCAGTTTAGCACTTTCCTCAAACATGCTGAATGATTATGTCACTCTGTCATGATAAATGTGAAGTCTTTTATTTTTTGAAAACAGCCAGCCTTGTGGTACAGTGACTTAGAAAACAGTCTGGCAATTCTTCAAAAGGTTAAATAGTTACCACATTACCCAGAAATTCCATTCCTAAGCATATACCTGCCTCTCCCCAAGAAAACATACGGTCACCCAAAAATTCATACATGTGTGTTCAGAGCATTATTCCTAATAGCCAAACAGTGGAAACATTACAAATGCCCATCAACTGATGAACAGAAAAATAAAATGCGGCCAAGTATCATTTGGTAATAAAAAGGGATGAACTACTGATGCTAAGTTAAAGAAAACAGTAAAGAGCCACCCACTGTATGAAATGCCCAACCTAAGCGAATCTAGAAAGACAGTATAGATCAGTCATAGCCTAGAGCAGAGAGATCTTGGGGGATGGAAATGAGGCGAGGATTGGTAATAACTGCTAATGGGTATGCAGTTTCTTTCTGGAATGATGACAGTATTCTGTGCTTGAACTTCTTACCTCTGTATGGAATTTGTTGTCACACAAATACAATGACGTATTAATTGGTTTGAAAGGTTCAAAGTCAATGTTGACTTTCTTTTCTTTTCCTTCCTCTGTAACAATTGTACCACAGTAAACAACCAGGCCATTTGGAGGTACTGCAAAAAACACAATTTCTCTACTTAAATCCACAGTTAATTTTCCTCAATTAATAGAAAATATTCCAACAGTCTACTGTCCCTGCTCCTTATTTTGAATTATTTTTCAAGATTTTACTTTTCAGTACTCTCTATATCCAGCATGGGGCTCGAACTTACAACCTGGAGATCAAGAATCACATGCTCTACTGACTGAACCAGCCAGGTGCCCCATGTCTCTGGCTCCTTTAAATATTAATTTAAATAAAGCAGAAATATTTGTAAATCTCTCCTGCAGAATTCTCTCCCTAATTTTGAAAATTCTTGAGATGTTTTAAAAGGGAGGATTTAGGTTTTTAAGTAACTACTACTTTAAAGAAAAGTAACTTAAAAAAAAAAAAAGTTAAATTCCAAGGCCAAAGGGACATTGCTAATAGATGTCTGAAAAAAACCATTAGTAACCAAAAGCATCATGGCAGGATCAAAATGGAAAATATAACCAAGACAAAGTAGAGGAGGAAAATGTTCAAGATCACCTTTGTTATAAAGTTTGAGTCTTTGTTGTACAGACGTAATGGCTCCCAGGACTGAAAGGCGGTTTACTCGTGACTTAATGTTAGATGCAGTTCCAAACTCATCTGCTAACATTTTTGCCACTCGTGAAATCTGGTCTTTGGGAGGAATGATCAATGATATCATGCTTGTGCCATTGCTGTGGAAGAAAGAATAACATTAGAGGTTCAAGTACCACGTAAGTGAAGAGTGAAGAGTTTAAATTCATGCTTACCATTGTAAAGTGAGCTAATGAAATTCCCCTAAAATAGAAACTGATCACTCCCTAGGTGACCAGGAAGGTAGGAACTACACCAGTGTAATCAAAGTATGCCGGGTAGGGAAGAGTGTTCAAAATACGGTAGGTACTCAAGTATTTGTATTTAAATTAAAGGTTTTATTTATTTATTTGAGAGAGAGAACATACAAGTAGGGGAGAAGGATAAGCAGATGCCCCACTGAGTGGGGAACCTGACGCCGGACTCCATCCCAGGACCATGAGATCATGACCTGAGCTGAAGTCAGACACTTAACCAACTGAGCCACCCAGGTGCTCCAGTACTCAATTATTTGAATGAATCTTAGCTATGTAAAGAAAAAGACAGCACTTTAAGGGATGCTCAGGAAACACCTCATTCTTCAAGGGCAAACTGAGAAGCTTTCATAAGCGGGGTGACGACAGGCTGGAATTTGACAGAGTCCACGGCAGAGGTCTGGAATCTGGTGGTTCTTTCAGTGGAAGAAGCCGTCACAGGATGATGCACAAGTCTTTACAAAGTCTATGTGAAAGAACAACTGATTATCACCCCCTTTCAATTCCAGGCTCACCATGAAAATTTATAATCATTAATTTAGCACCCTAAGTAATCTGATAATGGGAAAGCAGTGTGGAATTCACACAAATAATCCCAATTAGGAAATCACACACACACTCTAGGTGTATCTCTAAATGTACTTTACATATTGATCACTTTTGATTTTGAGAAGATATATACACACATAGCATACACTGAGGACCTGGTCAATTCTGGGTGCTCAAATTCCAGCTTCCAGAACTAAAAACGAGGACCAAATTCTGAACTATGGAGGGCACTACTACCAAGGCCTTGCCATATGGGAAGACCCTTTTGAGCAGCCACCAACCTCTATCTAACCTTGATACTGATGCCAACATCATCTTTTTTAGCTACATTATCTAAAGATACTTATTTTTTTTTTTTAAGATTTTATTTATTTATTTGAGAGAGAGAGAATGAGAGACAGAGAGCACGAGAGGGAAGAGGGTCAGAGCGAGAAGCAGACC